CCAGTGTTTGGGTAGCTCCTGCTATGATACTTTTCAATAGTGTGTGTGCCACTTCGCATGAGATTTCCGTCATTATGTCCGGAGGGCATACCGCCTGGGAAAGGATTTAAGGGCATATGGCATATGGAATTAGGTGCAGAATGTTCTCGAGGCGTCTGTACTCATCAAATTAACTATTATTTTCTATATGAAATGTTGGGCTTTTAAAAATCTCGTTCACCCTCTTTGTTAGGAAGCAATTATGCATGCGCCGCAGGTGGGATAGCCTATATAAATGCGTAGGTAAGTGGTTTTCACATTTTTTCTCATCGGGACTCGGGAAGAACCATGCGAATGGCAGTCTGTAATGGAGCCTATACGGGGACAGGGCTGAAAAGCCGTATAACCGTGGTTTCCCATTAATTTTGGCATCATTGACCAAAATCTATCTTGAATTTAGGCCGGGGCATCAACCCTTGGATGGCCCGCGAAAGGGTATGTGTTTAAAAAGTGGTGGGGCTGGCTAGTGAAGTGCACTACATGGTGTCCCAAGAAAAAACACCGCCCTCTATCTCGACCCAGAAGTAACGGATCGGAACGATAGTTACACCATTCGAAAGCCCTCGAGATGGCGGGTTTGCAACCAACTTCAAAACCATGGGTTTTTTTATTGAAATGCGCCAAGTAAAAGCCATTTTGTAAGATTTTCCGGTTTTTCGGGGTTGCGGACGAGCTAATTTGCCTCAATTTCTCCTGGCAAAACGACCGGAAGTATCCGTTAATTGAATGCAGAAGCCATTCCTTACTGTTTTAAGTGTGTTGCAAAATGGCGCACTTCACCAAATTTTTAAGGAAGATAAAATCCATTAAGGAAATTCTGAAAGCGCCATCTTTTTTGGCCGCGGCTGGTTACCCTAGATCCGGTTTGTAACATACCGAATATCGAGGAACTCTTAATGCACTTCCCTAGTCGGGGTACACGCAATACACCCTTTCTTTGATAGCTTCATCGAATGGTGATATGGCCAACTGCTTGTCGCCCATCGGTTTTCTTCGAACGTTCTTTGATATAGTATTTTGGCTTCAAATGCCGATTTCAATTCTCTCCCCCCACACCTCTCTCCTCTGCTCTCTCTCTCTCTCTCTCTCTCTCTCTCTCTCTCTCTGATGTCGTAAAATTCAAAATATTGTCGATTTTGCAGGGTCAATGAAGCGTCCCGCGCCTACAGCACAAAACAGCTATCGGCGCTGTGGAGGGCGCCTCATTCGCTGGAAGACGCTTCCGTTTTTCCAGCTTCCGACAGATCTGATCAACTCTGTGATCGAAAAAGCCGGCATCCTTGAGTTGATGCTGCTTTGGCGGACAAATAGACGAATTCGGTAAGTATAGCTTATTTTGCTAAACAAAATATAAGACACAGACCGCGGCCCTGTGCCTAAATAGTAGTTTTTTAGTGGTCACTAGACTGTACACGTTTTGGCACAGACTTTGATGCTTTCCGCAAATTTTGTCGGTCTATTCGTTCAAAAAAAATTTTCATGGATCGACTCATGAAAAGAGGTCTATTTCCCGGACACGTCGCCGATTTTTATATCTGCGGAAAAATGGTGAACGCTGCGGAAAATCGACCTGGAGGTAGTTCCGAGGTGAGCCGTTTTTATTAGTTTATAACAAACCCTAAATTTTGTGTGGCATTCGCCGAAGAGCTGTATTTATTTTTCGAGAAAATAACAAAGATAACCAAACGTATTTAAACTTGAGAATTCCAGATGATCGTGGCCGAATTGTCGATCCGGATACAAGACAACTTTGGCACAGCCGTTCAGTTCGCCAATTATCATCCATTGATGGTTATTACAGAAAAGTCAGAAATGCGGTAATGTTTATCGTCGCTTTTAGGGAGCTGCTCGTCGCCGAGCTGCACGTAACAAAATGGATCGAAGCCGAAACAAGGTTAGGAATCTGGTCCGGCAATTGCCGAGTGTCGCAATAAAAAGAAACTGATTACAACAATTCCAGAGGTCGCCAAGAATTGCCTCGCCCGGTCGTCAGTCTGACACAATTCTTCCCCTATCTCGCGAAAATTCAGCATCCTCGCTTCGTCCGATTTCGATTTCCGCTGTCGTATAAAACGGTGCCTATTTTTTGGGAACCTGCGGGCAGAGACTGGAATCTAATTAGCTAACGCCTATCATTAAGTTCTTCGCTGAATACCTGGTACTCCCCCGTCACGATGAATCTGCAATCCTGGAAATGACACATGCAAGTTGTTGAACCAGATTATTAATGATCTACCGCAGCAATTTGATTATGATCGGTCAGGCGACAATAGCTCGCCTTTATTGCTTACGATTTTCTATCAGAAGCTCGAAAATCAGAATCTCGATGTGCAGAATCTGGAAAGTTCATCGATCAGCCAATTATAAAAAAAAGCAAAATCTCGAAAAGCAAAATCACGACAATGTATACTTTTTGCCCCACAAAAAAAAAGTTGTTAAGCAGCCTCTCCGGATAACGCGTCCGTTGCCGTAGATATAGAAAAGAAGTTAAATTTACCAGGTTTTCCAACACTGTTTTGTAAATAGTCACTTGTTTTGGATTCTTTATAGAAGATGCCTTTTCAGATCGAATGCTTTCTACAGGCCGTCGCTGAGGCGCAAGGCATGTCAATGTTGATGGGCTGTGCACAGACTTTTCAAAAGCTAAGGAGTAATCTGCACCTGAGAGCCGAAACCATGCTGTTCCAGCAGGCAAGTACAGTATTTTTTTTTCCAATAAAAGCGATCGATCAGTTACGAGTCGGTCTCGGTTCTTGATTTGAACATTACAACACCAAGAAAATTGGAAGAATTTTAGGCGTATCGGTTGTTTGAAGAACATGAAAAATCAGGGGTGAGTTATTAATTTTCGCCTACGCCTAAGATCCGAGGTATTTGGCAGGCGTCCTTCTCGGAAAACTTGACCGGAATGGGCGAAGGCGTATCTCTTAAAAAAACGAATTTAGAGATTTTGGAAGAATGAGGTGATGGCCGAGAAGCTTCTACAATTAGAGCAGCTGATGAGCCGCCCCGGACAGATGTCAGCTGGTTGTTCAAAGATCCCAGAGCTGCTGCTCAATTTCCTACCCTGTCAATCTCTGCCGGGCCTAATTCGGGTTGGTCAATGACGACGCAGTTTTTCAACCCTGGTTTTTCCAATCGCTATTAACCACTAACTGTAAAGTGTTTTTACTCAGGGGGGCGGGAGGAGTTACTCTTTTGGGGATGGGACCAAGCCTATCTTGTGTAGAATTTTCCGCTGATTTCGAATCTGATTTCCAAAACTGCTGCCGACTTTTATTTAAAAAGTTATTCGATATTTATACTATAAAAACAGCGGAAATCTGGATTTTTTGCGTTATTTTTAAGTTGTCGTCATCTTCAACGTTAAAACCGGGCCGGTAACGGTTTTAGAGGTCTAAGCACGATTTTATCCAAAAATCATGCGTTTTGTGCAAAAAGCAAAAGAAATTTTGCAGGGCGGGGTTCGAACCGCCGCCCTGTGCTCGGCAAGCGAACACCTTGCCTAGACACCATGGTGCTAACCGTGAGGGGGGGTTCTGGAGGGTAGATAAGGAGCACCGCGTACCTGGACCCAGATAGAGAATAGTGGGCCAGCATCCGAATTTATGCCATTTTTAAGCTTAATTTCGACCTCAAATGACTTTTTAACGCAAAGTCCGCAGCAAATTTGGAAAACGAGTTCGGAATCAGCGAAAAATTCTGAACAAGATGGTCCTCGTCCCATTCAAAAACGCTTTACAGTAAGCCAAGTTCAGATAGTTACGGGGGCCAGAGGGGTATAAGTGTAAAAAGCCTCCTGGCAGATTTTCAACCTGTTATCCTAGAAAACCACTATTACTTTCGGTGCTTTTCCAATAACCGGGGGGACCGATTTTTTCCTTAGGTCCCGATTTTTCTAATATAACTAGAAGAGGTGTTTCGAAACTGTTTTTTGCTATTCGTGAACGTAAAAACTTTACAAATTTTTGTTAAAAAAATATAAAAATATAGACTTTTCGCCCAAAAATGGCCAATTTTCGACCAAAATTTCAGAAAAAATTGTTTCTAAGGCTTGTTAGATAGTTTTCCACTTGAAATATAGTTAAATTGTACCAAGTAAATTATTAATACAATTACTAATGCGTTACTAGGCATTTCCGAAATTATAGGAAATTTTAGATGCCTAAAATACTCTATTTTAGGCAATCATAGATCGGCATGAGGTATCTGGACGTCACTATGCGCTGTCTAGCCATTTCTGCCTGCGCTGCGCCAACGGTCCGGAACCCGAAAAAGCAGTTGAGGCCAAGGTCGGAATCGACTGAATTAAAATTGTCCAACAATCAACGTCCCGCGATATTCCAAAATCGACTAAATAGACCTGTCCATTCAGCGATTTGGGCTACGGTTTACTTTACCCCCCCCAGCCGTAAGTTTTTGGCCTTAACTTTTTTATTTTACATTATTGTAGGCTCAAATTAAAACTCCTAGTATATTTTTCGACGCTCTATCGAATGGCGTTGCAAAAATCCCGACAAAATAAGCGAAAATACCGAAAAGTTTGAGACCCTTCGGCTGTGGGGGGAGGGGGGTAAAGTAAACTCTTACCGCGATTTGGATATGACTAAAAACATTCTCATAATGAGAAGCAAAATGTCCACGTTCAGCTGTTTGAAATGTTGTGTCATGCATGCGACTACGTTGAAACTGTGCCGGATGTCTCGCCAGGCGCACGAAAAATCAAAAAGCTGTTTAAGAGATGCTGGCCGGTTTGTGTCTTAACTTTTTTGCCAAAATTTAGCGATTCTGTAGGGTGTGCTGTGTACTCTGTAGGGCACACCTGAGGCGCAGGTGCTCGAGTGCAGCTAGACGGGTCTTGGCTCATCGGATCAATGTCGTCTAGCATAATGATTGTTTTTTTTTCGATTTCAGAACCGCCCAGTATCCGGAAAAATCTATCGATGTCATACCGCATCTAGAGGTTAGATTTTGATAGGATAAAAAATATTTCGTATAATAATTTTGGGGTGTATCTCTGTGTGTGTGTGTGTGTGTCCGGCGCCAGGGAGGGCTACTTTGCATAATTCCAAAAAATACAAATTTTCTCATTCTTGCAAGTTGCACGCGCGGGTGTGGTCGGAGGAAGGGAAGGGTCCGAAGGACCCAAGCTCTCGTAAAGTCAAATTTCTCATACAAAGGCCGCATTCCAGCGCCCAAGGCCCGCGATGCGGGTTTTGGGCGCTGGTATCGTATAAATAACAAAACTCGTGCGGTCGGGGAAATAGCGTAATAACTATCAGCGATAAAGTGATATGATATTAATCCAACGGCATTTCAGCGCTGTTGCTCGTCAATCACTTCGTGATCGTTGGCTCATCTAGACGCTACATTCAACATCGCATTCATATATATGACATTTGACAAATAAAGTGAGAACTGTCGCCATTACTCCAGAACTACCTTCCGAACACATTTACCCCCGAACCAGGCCGACTAGGACGTTGCCGCAAACGACAATACCATTCGCGAAAACGACAATACAAGCGAAATTAGCGCATCTCCGCGAAAACGACATTTCCGGTCTTTCTAAAGTATTTTTCGAGCGTCACGGGCTGAAAATCGTATAAAAAAGCCTAAATGCTGCACTCAAACACTTCATAGCGAAGAACTTCGATATAGAATTTATCTTATTAAAACCCAGAATGCTAGAAAAAAAGAGTGTTACCCAATTAAGGGGTAGCACACCCAGACGAAAGTTAGCCATGATACCATTCGTGCGTAGTGTATATTACGGCATTTGCCATGCATTTAAAATCGTGAAGAGGTTCAATCCGATCACGTGCCTACCCTATTTCTTCCCCGCGAAGGCGCATGCATTCAAAACAATCGTGTCGACCCATTTGCATGCCGTAACTACCCCCTTTCACCGTGTCAGCCAACCAATGGCTATCCGCTAATTTAATTCAGATTGTTCTTATTCGTTTCTTTGCCTCGTTTGTGGTACAGCTTTTATCCTACCGCATTGAACTATAATGAAATATGTGTATAATGGATTTCTGGAGTTTAATTCTGAAATTTGCTTTCAACTATGTTGATTAGGACCGAGTAATGGCACAACTGGAGAGAATTATCGCTAGATCTTGAGATCATCAAAATCAGACAGAATCAGAAAAATTACGGGCGTTTCAAATTTCGCCAAGGCTTGGGGGCTTCAAAATGACATTTTGCACGAGGGAGCGGACCTAAAAACTCGCCAATAGATCTTTCTTTCAACCTGATAGTCGATTACTCATAGTGATGGTCCCTTACTTCAGATAATCGCAATGTTCCTTTCAGGACCCATGAAGCGTCGAACACTTGCACCACAAAAGCGCTATCAGCGCCGTGGAGGGCGACTCGTTCGCATTCAGACATTGCCGCTTATCGAGCTTCCGGCCGATCTGATCGACGCGGTGATAGAAAAAGCTGGCATCCTCGAGCTGTTGCTTCTTTGGCGTACCAATCGGCAACTTCGGTAGGCTGCTATGATGATGAAAATTTTAAGTGAAAAGGAAAAGTTTATGACCGATTACTCCTAGAGTTTCGGTCAAATGAGATCAAAAAAAGCGTTGTTGCTTTTTAAATGCTGCAAATTTGCCGTTTGACGCTCTCAGTTGGAGTCCTCCGCTTTAGTTGTCAGGCATTTTGTTTACATATTCATCAGCTGAAACAGATTTTTTAAGCCCAATTTTTAAAACATAAATCTTTTAGGGGTCACCCCTAAATTTTTCCGAAAAACACCCCCTCAGAATCCCACCGAGATTACGATGAGAAGGTATATCTGTTAACCTGATGGATCAATGAATTGGAACGAAGCCATAATCCGCTAACGCGTGCCGCAATGGGCCCCTTTTCGCGCACCCGAATCCCCGCCTCCCCTCCCCCCCCCCCCAACACCTCTTCCTAGTTCTAAAAGGAAAACAATAAAATTTTGAAATTCTGGCCACATTTTCGGTATTCTGAGCGCGTTTTGCCCCATATTAATCTTGCTAAAATCCAAGTTGGCGTCAAAATTGTCGGGATCCAGACAATAGCCAACGTAAATCCAGCTACGTTTTAGTTACGTGTGCAAGTAAACTCTGATTTAGCTCTCGCTGGTTTTGGTTTTTCCCGTTTTAAAACTATACGATCAAACTGACTAATTTTAGAGATCGACTGAAAGCCCGAGGTCTATTCCCTGGTCGCGTCGCCGATTATCATGTCTGCGGAAAAGTGGTGGAAACCGACGAAAATGCGAGGGCAGGAGTCTCAGAGGTGCGTGGAGGTTGTTACTTTGTAAACCCGGTTTCAACCGTGTTACTCTTATCGGGGCAGCATCTGTGTATGGCGAGCGTGCCCGTTTTTAGATCACTGTCTCCGAATTGTCGATACAAATACAGGACAGCTTCGGCACCGCTATACAGTTCGCCAACTATCACCCAGTGATGATTGTTACGCAAACGTTAGCCCCCAATTCCCATAACCCATTTTTAAGTCTTTAGTGATCCTCCTCTGTCTGGCCTGGACCTGCGCAAATGGAAATCGGCGAGAACCTGGTAGTGAAATGGGGGATTCGGTTATACGGAGTTGCTGGTTCGGGGTCCGAGACTCACAGCAGCTGGGGGCTGGATAGCAAAGACAAAAAAACGTATTCAAAAAGGGAATTCGTACGCGTTTTAACAATTTCGCACTTTATTATAGCATTCAGCTTTCGCCGAGAAATGGAAGCCCCGGATGTTAGTTTCGCCCATTACTTCCCATTCCTAACCAGGATCCGCCAACCCCGCTACGCCAGGTGTCGCTTTCCTGCCACATATCAGACGGTAATTGATTTGCAAACATTTTACCGTTCCTAGCAACTACCGTATTCCTTTTCGTATAAGCTCATGTCAAGGCTTGCCATTTTTTTCCGGATTTTATTAGAATCAGCTGATAGTAGGAAAGTCAGCCATTTTTCTATCTACCAAAAGTATCGAAACTGGACGGCAAAAGCGATCATTTTACAGATTTCAGCAGTTATACCACATTAAAGGGTCCTACAGGGAACGCGCACGCCGCTTTGACGCCGCGAAGGATCCATTTGGATTGCATGTTGCGTGTTGCAGGCGGGGCAAGATTGATAGAGCATCCATGGGCCAAAAATCCATATTCGCGTATCCTTCAACTGCAAAAAGCCTTAGCCATACAGATATTTTGATCAATAGACCGAAAATGATAAAAAATACGTGATCCACTCAGCAAAAGGACACCGGAAATTTTTTCAGTATTCCAGTGAGAGCATGGCTATGCCGTTGCAAGGCTCCGCTATGGTCCACAGATCGACAGGGGTAGGTGAATTGTGTATTTTATGGTTTTTAGTGATTTCAATTACGAAAAGATTGTGAAAACAGCTCTAAAGAGCTTTGGGATCACTGGCGGGATCCTTTCTGGGAATTTTTCATCAATTTTCGACCAAAGGTGGCTTCTTATTTCTGAAATTCTGACATGCATTGCTATTAAAATCGACAATTTTAGTTGTGGGATGGTATCAATGCGCGTAAGCCGTAACAAACCGAATTTAGCTTGAATCGGAAAAGCGCTTGAACGAACCTGCTGAACCGACAATGTTCAGGATCAGATTACATTTAGGGGATGAACAATAGATTAGGGGTAAATGACAGTTTTTGAGATCATAGTGAGCAAGGCGTTTTTCCTTCGGAAAGTTTTTGCTCCATCCGAATTTTCAGGTTGGTTGCCTGTTTGAAGCCTTCACTGGCGTGCAAGGCGCTACATTTCTCGTCGATTGCCTGAAAACTTTAATCAAACTTAAACAGCACTTGAAGGCTAAGGCGGAAAGGCTAAACCTAAATCAGGTATGGTTCGAGCAGACTTGTTGAAAGTTCGACTTACTGTAAAGTGTATTTACTTAGGTCGGGAATTCCAAACAGGACCTCGCTTGGTTTACCCGAAACGAACCAGTCAGTCAGCAGTGCGCAACACCTCTATTTTTCCCGTGGCATGCTTAAATTGTGCATCCAGTACCTTTTTAGCGAAAACCCCCGCAGCAATTTTGGAAATGGGTTCGGAAATCAGAAAAAAAAATCGGTATATGTCGGCTACGTGGGGGGGTCAGAGCAGGTTTTACTTTATTTTTCGTTTTTTTTGCAACGCCATTCGAAAGAACGTCGAAAAATATACGAAGAGTTTCGGTTTTAGCGCAAAATCATATAATAAAAAAATTCATGATAAAAAGAAAAAGAAAATTTTAAAATCGGGTTGAGCGGCTGTCTTTCGACATGCTGGCTATTTTTCGACATCTTAAAGTCGCCATTCGATAGAGCATCCAAAAATATACCAAGCGTTTTACATTTAGTTCAAAACAATGTAATATAAAATCATTATGACAAAGACAATTATCAAGCGTGGTTTCCATAGATGACATAGGATGAAAGCAGGCTTTCGACATTTTCGATATTTTTTCATTTTTTTTTCTGTGCCATTCGTTAGACCGTCAAAAAATATGCGAAGAGTTTTGTTTGCAGCGGAAAGAAATGGAAAAAAATTAGTGAGGTCGGCCTTTACAGTAAGTCGAACGTTCAATGAATGCTAGCAGCGGACAGCCTTCCGTGGTCAAAGGCGAGGCAGAATAAGTTGAAAACGAGGTGTTTAGGCGCTTCGTATCCTGGAAGAAGCCGATCGACAAGCAGACGTAAGCACTTTGCCGGGAAATCTCGCCAGCGCTTTTAAATGACGTGCGAAAGCGATGCTCGTTTAGGGATTTCCAAAGCCAGGGGTGATCACCGACATGCTCGGGCAGCTAGAAGAAATGCTGCAACCCTCTGGGAATTTTGCAAACGATTTCACGGAATTGATCATTCACCATATAAAGTTTAAATCGATGCCTGCACTAATTCGAGTAGGTGACCCCTAGTTTGCGCTACGATACGACAAGACGATACCACACACCCATAACCTGACCTTACTTGGTTCCCTTTTAAGGCGATCGCAGAGCGCCCGGAAGTGTCAGGACGGTATTATGGGCTAGTAGGACAATTTCACATGGACAGCGCCCGTTCTCCGGAACCCCAGCTGGCAGTGGGCGCCGAGGTGAGCAAATATGAAAGAGGAATCGATCCGTCTTTTGCATTTACCGGGCTGCTCCACAAAAATGGAGACCGATCGGTTGCAAGTCGGTTAAATATAGCGTGGGGGCTTTCCATGCGGAACCCGAAGCCTAAATATTGCTGCTATTTTGAGCTCCACGAAATCTTCCGTCATGCGTGTGACGATATCGAATTGCTGGCTGATGACGACGCAGAGGCGGGAAGGCAGCATCGTTTGTTACGAAAACGATGGCCGGTCGGTGGTTTCACTGTTTTATATGCAGGGTGGGCTGCGGTTCATTTTACTCCCCCCTCCAGCCGACCCCCACCTACCGTCTCTCGGCTCCCTGCTGATCTACAGGTGTTTAAAATATACGAAAATGATCACCAGAGCAAGGCGAACATTTTGATATGTTTTACACACCTGTAGATCAACAGGGAGCCGATATACAAAAGTTGGGTGCCGGCTGGGGGGTAAACGGAACTCTTACCGCAGGGTGTCCCAAAAATCCGTGTTTTATAAAAAATGAGGATATGCTATGTATTAACGGGTTTCTTTTAAACAACCTTACCAGGGTTGAAAAATGGCTAAGCGGCTTTTCAACCCTGGCCGTGGCAAGGTCCCTCTGACAGTCGCCATTTTGCAAAGAAATTCCCGAATCCCGACGACAAAAATGAAAGTCATTTGCTTTTTTGCTTGATATAGCCTGCCCCATGCGAATTGGTTCTTAACAAAATCTAACTCGAGTATCTATCTAGCGTATCTATCTAATCTAAGAAATTTTTTTACTACCGTAAGATAGGCAAGACAGCTTCCCCCCGCGCTAACAGAACAGTAGCCGGGCAACAACCAAAAAAAATTCGAAAGCTAACCTACGAAACACAATACGTAAGAGTTGGCGAATTAAAAACAATGAAAAAATTATGTGGTTAAATTTTAAAACAAAATTAATTAAAAACCCAAAGGCCACAAATCGCCCGACCAAAAATTATTTAAATTCAGAAACTTACGGAGCATCCAGGCAAAGTCTACAAATGCCGAGCCGCACATCGAGGTGGATCCTAGCCTATAAATACGTGGTTCTCGAAACTTATTTCAGATTTGCTGTTCATCAATCGTTTCCGGATGATCGCTTCGTCTGGGCCGGACGTTGTCGCCCTCAGTGTTCATATTTTTGACCTTTGAAACCTCAGACGGATCTCACACCTCTAGAAAATAAAATAACCAATACACCGATATTTTTTAAAGGCATCGGCAATCAAGCATCAACATCGCAGGCCAAGAAAATACGCATTGTAGCTGACTGCATGAGCCACCGAGAGAGTGTGAAAGAGTGCGAGAGAGAGACAGAGGGCGAGAGAGAGAGAGAATTCCGGCCCAAGCGGGCTATCCATCATTACTTCTAAAACCATTACTTCTAAAAGTCATTACCGCTAAAAGCATTATTTCTGCAAGTTGATACGTCGCATTAACAGTTTTTCGGCACGTTTGACCATTTATTGGTTCCCAAATCGCTGATAAGAATTAAAAATTTACGATCTTAGGCTTACATTATTCATAACTTCCGAGCAATGGCTATTCCGCTAAAACGGTAACGATATTCGGAATCAGCGTAAAATTCTGCACTAGATAGGCGTGGTCGCATCCCAAAGTCCCCACGACGGTTTTAGGGTATTTCTATGCCGCGGGGAAATTGCGCCTGAGGCACGATCAACACCCATATGCAGATGGACCATTTCAAATGATAGCCGGTAGAGCGCCAAATGATCGCATCTGCGCAGACAAGGTCGAGAGCGGCGAGTATATGCAACCTCTGGCGCTGGACATCCATAGGTTCGTTAGGATTCGCGGCGGAAACCCCCCCCCCTAATTTTTTACACTACCCTCAACATAAAAGCTGTATAAAAATTTTATTTGAAAATTTAATTTTCGGGCAAAAGGTTTGTTTCAAATTTCAAGCCGTGAGCATCCTCCGGCCCGCGAGGCGTGCATGTTCTGGAGATCAACTAATTAATTTAGATGCTTCCCTGCGGACTATGCCAGAAGCCCGTCGACCCGACGCAGCTCGCGCATCACTTAGAAAGTGATCATCCGCTTTCGGGAAAAGACGAACATCAAAAGCTCGCTAATCAGATCCTCGGGCCTTACACGGAGTGGGCGAAAGCCCAACTCACGATGGCCGCCAAATCAGCCGTTCCACCACTACATGAACAGGAGATGCTCGAGGAAGAAGCCAAGGCTCCTGCTAAAAGGCCCCCATCGCCTAAATAATCATGCTTATTTTTCTATTTTATATCAGTTTATATTTGTTAGCTCTTCCCTTTCTTTTCTTCAATAAATCTTTAACAATGTGGAAAATTTCTACCAGGACTGGGAGTACACAATTTGCGGCGAAATGGCAAATTTTTTTAGCATCGCCGCCCTGGAGCCGATCACCGATTGGCCCGACGCGAAAAAGACGCGCTTCGGGCTCGGCTTCATCGACGTCATCAAGGACGTGTGCATCTCCTACGGTCTCGACATGAATGCCAAGGGTAGCGGCCTGAATTTGGTGAGTTTTTCGTGTGTGAAGCAGCTTCAGATCTCTTGCCTCATTTTTGCCATGAAAACTTGTAAATCTTGCGTTTAGCTAACACCATCTCAACATTCGGCCGTTTCTGATGTGCTCAAGCCGTCGCAAGCCGCCGTCTACACGATGCACCTCCATGCCGGCGCAACGATGGTCGGTTTTGGCCATTTAGTCTTGAAATTCGGGCACAAAAGTAGCGTTTGTTTCACTGCTCTTTAAATTTTGGAAATCTAAATGGCATATTTTTTGGAGAAAAGAAAATCGGATTGATATGTCGAAATTCGCGAATTGAAAATTCACTACGACCGAAAAACGGAAAAGGCAGATATCGAAGGCAGAAGTCCCTAGCTTTTTCTGTTTAGTTTTTAATCCGTTACCATTCTGTCATTACCTCATTCTATCATTCGCACGATGGACTACAACGTTCTGAAGGTATCATTTGCCGCTAGATCCTATTAGTTCCTTTTTCAGATGCTGCTTCGAATTCTCGAATTCGAGTTTGGCACGCAGAATGACGGCGAAGAGCCACCGACGTCAGGAGTAGCTTCTGGGGAGGTAAAGGTTTTGCCCGGTTAATTTCATATTATTTTTTGGACTTCCGCGCCCGCTGTCCCGGCCTGGATGACGGCGCTCTCCTCCTGGATGACGGATGACGGGTTGTGATCTAGGTTTTCAGTTGTTTTCCTACATTTTGCGTTGTTGAGGATAAATATGTATTTCTCTCGTGATATGAACAGGGCAAGTTTCGAAGGATGGAGGTGTGAACTGCGACATTTTTTGAAAGCTTGATTTAGTGAAAGAAGAACTTTTCTCATATGTATCT